AACCCTAGCTAGCTACTTAAGCATCTACAACTACTTAAACACCCATTGATGAACACTAAGAATTATAGAGCTACTTAAGCATACATTGGGTGCAGAACAACTATATAAGTACTTAAGCAACTATATATACAACCCTATAATATATTTAGTTAACTATTTAAGCATATACAAGTTTGTCCTAAAAATAATATTTAGTTAAGTATTTAAGCATATACAATTTTGTCCTAAAAATTCAGTTAACTACTAATTTCATTCATTTAGGTCATTCATTTAACTTCACCTAATTAACCTAGTAAAACCCTACTTCCCTAACTAAAAAACATCTAATTAACATCTACTAGTACCACTACTGCCCTAACCTAATTAACCTAAGTTAATTCCTAGGGTCCTGTTATATGCTGGTGCTCTACTGCCCTAACCTAATTAACCTAAATTAATCTAATTAAGATCTACTAGTACCACAACTGCTAAGTCCTAGGGTTCATAACTAAATTCACCTAAGTAAATTAACCTAGATGGAATTACTGTTTAGGCATTTTCATAAAAAAAATCCCTAGCTAATTTCCTAAAAAAAATGCCAATCATTTTTCCTAAATGTTAAAAAAATGCCGACCGCCCTAAACAAATCTAGGGTTCATATGAACATCAGCGCAGCAACAACATATGAATTGCCCTAGCATAGAGAGAGAGGAGGGTAGGGGAGAGGAGAGGGAGAGCCTTACGGTCGGCGGCGAGGGCAGGCTCGGGTTCGGGCGGCGGAGGTCCTGGGCGGGCTCGGGCGGCGGCGGTGAGGTTGAGGGTGGGCTCGGGCGGTGGCGGTGAGGTCGACTACGGCCTCGGGCGACGGTGGTGAGGTCAAGGGCAGCAGGGCGATCAACGACGGTGATGGAGGAGTTGGGGGATAGGGGGAGAGGACTTAGCAAAATTTTGAGCCTGTGCGGCCGGGGTTAAGTCAAAATAGCAGTAGCACATTTTGGCAAAATGCGTTATAGCTAAGTTAGCTATAGCGCGTTATGGCAAAATGCACTACTGCTATGCCTTTCTCTTTTATTGTTCTTTTTCTTTTGTTTTTCTTTACATTATCTTTTTTTCATTTCTCCTTTTTCTATTTCTTTGATTTTCATTTATTTTTCTACTGATTTCTCTATTTATTTTCTTTTTAGTAGCAGTAGCGCTCTACACCAGAAATGCGCTGCTACAAAGCATTTAGCAGTAGCATGCTTTAGGAAGAACCGCTACTACCATTCCTAGCCTACCGGCAACAGTGTGGGAATTATAGTAGTAGCGTTTCTCTGCGCACACGCGCTACTGCTGAAACTATAGTTGTAGCGTGCTTTTGCGACAAGCGCTACTACTAAGTAGCAGTAGCGCCTAGTTTTGACCAGCGCTACTGTTATACCTCTGTGTATAAGGTTTTTCCTAGTAGTGTACAGGAAAAGTTAGCAGCAGTGCTTTAACAAAAGAAACACTATTGCTACTTACTATTATCAGTAGCGCTTTCCAGTACAAGCGCTACTGCTCACTAGGAATAACAGTAGCGCTGGGCTTCAAGCGCTACTGCTAACAGTTAGTTGTAGCGCCTTAGTGGTAGCGCTTGTACAAGCGCTACTGCTAGCTACAAAACAAGCGCTACTACTAGGGTTTTTTCTAGTAGTGTATCGACAACTTTGTTCATTTTTTGATATCAAGTAATTATTTTCTTTGTCTGGCAGGGTTTGGAAACAGTTCACCGGAATAGCTTCGGGACTGCCGAGGGAGCTGTGACCCGAAAGTAAGTAGTAATAGCTAGTTCCACGCATATCCCACTGATTCTAGTTTCATCAATACCATTTATCATGCTTGATTATCAGTTTGATTTAACTCTATTTCTCGTAAAGTGCTTATGGCAGGAAGGCGAGAATAATTTATGTTGATACTACGTTTGCGGGTTCATCTACAATGCGACCTCTCAGCGGGGCTACTCTGACGAACAATATGAAGTATGTAAACAACAATATTCACAATTTTATTTTATTACCATCATTTGTGTTGAGTTTCATTCATATATATGTATTGACCCCCTTCTTTAAATTAGATGTGGCAGATGCGGGATGAACTCCTACCACATGATCGCATACGAGCAATTCAAGAGGAATTGGCGGGATTCTTTTTTAACCACGTTATAAATGAGAAGGGAGAATGCCATCTGGAAATTGAAATGGATTTTACATGTTAGGGATTGTAAGAGATGTTATATTGTATATATGTAGTAGCGTCGGATCGATATACAAAAACTTGTTGTTCGACCAATCGTTCAAAGAAAGAGAGGTCACTTCTCTCTGTATATGTTCCTGACGATCTTGTGTACTTAATGGTTTCTTCATTTGCTTACTAGCTAGCATGTCGAGTTCTCTCTATATGTATAGTAGTTAGCGTCGACCAAGCACGGAGAAAAAGAGACCACTTCTATCTAGTATTAGCTAGCTAACACAATATGATCAAACCACTAAATTAACCCTCCAAAACCCTTAAACCCCCTCTTTAAAAAGGAACAAAAACCCCAGCAGCCTTTTGGTCCTGGTTGGTGTTACCAACCGGAACTAAAGATCCTCCTGCCTGGACGCCCCGCAGCGGCCACGTGAAGCCCCTTCTGTCCCGGTTCGTAAGCAAACCGGGACTAAAGGTTTTGGGTTTTAGTCCTGACCCTTTAGTCCTGGTTCCAGAACCGGGACTAAAGGCCCTCTGAAACCGGGAATGATGTCCTGTTTTCTACTAGTGTTGGATGTTCACAACATATGTGTACAATCCTTACAAATGTTAAAGCTAAATGTGTAACATACATTGAGAAAAAAGAAAGAGAAATCCACTATGAATAGTGTCGTAGAAAAACAAAATCACGTGCTTTTTCTCTCCTTTCCCTTGGCGGCTAGAGCAAATTCTCCTCTTTACTCTTCGTTGGGAGTCCGTGGATTCGTCTCGCTCCGCCTCTCGCTTTCGTGGCCGGTGGCAGAGAGGGGAATTCCGGTGCCTCTGCTCTGGCTAGTAATTTAGGTTAAGGTTTTGTTTTAGTCCTTGCAGATGCATCGTTCGGACGGATGGCGGCGCTTCTTTTCCTCTAATTTGTTTTTTGGACTCTAATCCTTCCTGAGTTTGTCCATCTCGATGTAGCCGATAGAGTTCGGACGTAGATTCCCATCGTCTCCTTGGGGTATCGATGATAGGGTTTCTCATCTTGCGTGTGCGGCAGAGAGATTTGATGTTAGTTGCTTCAGATCTATTTAAGCATTCAACGGCAACGACTGTGGCTCCAGGGTGTTGGTCCTTAGGAGCACGTGCAGAATTTTCCGGTATCATCGACAAGGTCAAGCCGGCTCAGGCAGAGTAGCAGCGACAACGGCACACCAACGGTTCGTTCAGCAGTGGTACTGGTGAATCGATGGGCTAGAGACTTTAATGTAATTTTTTATTATGTTTAATGTGGTTTGTACTTTCGATAAACCTTTATATTTATAATAGATCTGGAATTTTTTTTAAAGAACAAAAGCAAACAAACCTGGGTTCGGAACCAGGTAGCAGCGGCCGATGGATCCGCTGGTTCATCTCCACCATGGCCTTTCAGTCAAAGCTCTGCTTCTTCTCTCTCCCTTCATCAATTCCACCCATCGACCGCACCTAAAAGGCTACTACCACCACTAGCACAGCTTGTCTTGTCCCATCGACTGCTTTGCAGCATTTCTTGAGGGCTTGAGGCTTCGCTCTGCCCATCCTCCTCCTCCTCCTCGCACACTACTCCAGCTTCGCCAAGAAGACTCCACTCTCGCCCTCATTTTCGCTCCCAAATCTTCTTCCCCCGGAAGCTTTCCATCAAGCCAAGATTTCAGCTGCGCGCTGTGAGTCTCCCTCTGCTAGTCTAGGTTTCTGGCTGGCTGCGTTCTATTAATTTTTTTTTTTGTCTCACTCTGCCCTCTGCTTTGCCCTCAGATCGTCGAGTATCTTGCTGTCCAGTCCAGAGTCGCCACCGGGAATCCGCTGCCAGAGTAAACGCTCTCGTCTCTGTCTGTCCATTCTCTCCTTTTAAGTCGATAGATCTATCGCCGAAGCACTTCTTTCTTGCCCCAAATCCGCAGCCCGTCTGATCTGTTTTTTCTGTCCGTTTCCATGTGTCGAATGATATCTCGTTTCTCCACCACTCCTACATTTGATGAATCATTTTTTTCCGGCCGATGAACACGGACGAAACTGCTGTAGCTTGAGTTCATTAGAATGCTCCTTTTTAGATTTATAGTGATTTCAGATCTGTATAAATTCTAGATTTTAGATCCGTGTAGATGCTACAACAAAAATGTAAACAGTAAAGCTTACATTTTTTTTTTGCGGGAAAAAAGTGAGTTTTATTCCATGAACATAGGGATACAATCACGTGGCACAAGTTCCGTTATACATGGCGGAACACTGCACTACAAGACCCGGTGCGGCTATAAGAGGCCAAACAATCTGCAACCCTATTTTGACTTCTAGTAATTTTCTTCGGAATGAACTCCCTTTCCTCCATAAGAGACTTGATTTCAGCAACAAGATGGCCATAGACGGATCTGGACAAAAAAAAATACATTTTAAATACGAGTAAATGTTAACACAAAAATGTAAGCAGTACACCTTGCTTTTTTTTTAAGGGGAATACACTTTGCATTTCGGATATGTGAAGTATTAGATCAATAAATGTAAAAAGATTGCGTAGTTGCTCTCATACGCCGATTATGACCATTGCGTTGTCTCTCTGGGACGCACAACAAAAATTTCAGCAAACAGATGAGTAGCTCCATGACAACACATCCGAATAAATTGTACGCCTAATAGTTCCAAAAGAAACTGAAATTTTTGTTTTCTGAAACCAAAAATTGGAAATGTTGTTACGTACAAACTAGGTACCATGAAGATGGGTATTTAGCAAATCCCTTTTCTTCTTTTTTATGTGCCGTACTAATGCTTTGCTTCTTTTCTCTTGTCAGCAAGCAACCAGCATGGCAGACAGCAGCCGCGATACCGTCTTCGACGACCTGCCCGAGTGGCTCATCGTCGACGAGATCCTCTCCCGGTTGCCAGCCAAAGACGTACTCCGCTGCCGCGCAGTCCGCAAGTCGTGGCGCAGCACCACTTCCACCGACACATTCATCCTTCAGCACCACCACCATCAACCCTCGCTCCCCATCATCGAGCACCTAAACGGCATTTGCCGCCTCAACAGGGCCTCCAATGATCAAAAGATACTGCCAGTCCTACAGTATGCAGGCAGAAGCCCTATTACAGGGGTCGACCTTATGCACCGCGCCGTCTGTGATGGCCTCATCATCCTGGCGCAGAAGCCTGATTACTACATCTGTAACCCGGCCACTCGCAAGTGTGCTTCCCTGCCACGCCCTCCACTACAGTCAGGCTTCAGCAACGACGAAATAGTCGGCTTCTACCGGCACCAGCCATCTGGAGAATATCGGATGCTCTGGGCGTCATACTCCATACCCATCAGGGTTGAATTGCCTGATTACTTTGTCCTCACAGTGGGATCACACCAGCCAAGACGCATCCAGTGGCAGGCAGTTTCAGAAAAAGGGTTTCCCGCTATGTCGGCCCGTGATTGTCCACCGGTCCATCATCGTGGTAGCCTGCACTGGGCAGTGGGCCTCGACATAGCGGTATTTGATCCCGTAGCCGAGACATTCTGGCACATGAGCCGCCCAGCGCAGTTGGGTGATATGGTGTCATTGTTTGATACTGCCGGCGGCGCACTCGCTTTGTGCCGCACTGATCGTACCTACGTCACTTTGGATGTTTGGGTGTTGCAGGACTATGATGCCGAAACCTGGGGCTTTCAGTACCATATTAACTTGTTAGCGATGGTGGCATCGCCGCCGCTTGATTTGAGGATCAAATATGTCCCTAGGATGGCTGTTATCAATGAGCATGAGCTGGTTATCGATTATCCTGACCGTCTGCTGCATTGTAACATTGATGGTGTGTTTGTAGCAAATCTGGAAAGCGAAGAGCATGGAAACTACTTGATGCTCACTCGGCATCGTCTCCAAGAGAGCATGATTTCACTTCCATTGTTTGAGAAGCAAGAAGAAGATGCTGTGAACAAGGAGCCTCCATTCCTCATGGTGCTATAAAGACGCCATGCTCCATCTTAATGCTTTGGACTTGTTGTTTGCTGTGCACTTAGAGTATCCATCCCATGTGAGCCATGTCTTTCATTTTACCTTTTAGTAGTACCAGTAGAACTGAACATGTTGTTTGTCTGAAGTAGCCACTTCTTCTATCATCATTGCATGCTTGTTATGCTATCTTGAGCGCTATGTTGATGTTCTAACTTCTAAACAATGGAGTACCTATGCTATGGAACTGCTGTACTGTTCTCCCTTTTTTACTTTCAGTTTGCATTGTTAAAAAACACGAACGGCATTATTGCAGATGCTGGGGTCATTTTAGTTGTTGAGATGGCTAGTTTACGTACTCCCTTCTGTAGCTTAATATTTCATGATTCTTGTTCAGCGCACACTTTGATCCTATTGCTACTGCTCTTTGTGTGGAGATTTTTTTTCTCAGCATATCTAGGAAGCTGGCTGTGATTTGGTGTTCAGCATAGTTTTGGCCATTGTTGAAGTTTTTGGCAAGGCTGTTTGGTGATATATTGGAAGTGATGCTGGGGTCTTCCTTTCCTACTGCTTCTGTGTCCAAGATTCGGCGTTATCTTGATCAACATGTTGGAAGGCTGGTGTTTGCCCGTTTCCTTTTCTGTAAGGCTGTTGATGTGATGTCTCTTGCGTTTGCCTTTTTGTTTGTGTTTAACCGTATTTGCTGCTGGCACTCGGCACTGTTATTAGGCCGTGCTCAAAGCTGAAGCCGTTGTTCATTGTGTTTTACTTTAAAAAAGGGACTTCAGGATGTCCTCTCATGGACCAGGTAAATGTGCTAATTCTCAGTACAGCTTTGCCTGGATGCAGATTTATGCTAGCTTACATGGTGACTGTTTGACCATGATGTTCCACTATCTAAAGAAATGGTTATAATTTGGCCGATTTATTTTCTTCTGGGTTCATGTCAGATCAGATGGGGAAGAACAACTAGCAGATCGTCGTAACGCTTGGTTGCCATAATAACTGCCCATATAACGACCGCAGTTGAAAATGTAAGTTTATTTAAAGTTGCCATACCGGCCTTGGCATGCATAAATTTTGGAGGCCGATCCAAATCAAGCCCCCGAGCCGCCATATTTGGAGCGGCCTCCAAACCTAACCGCCTGCAAACAAATCTAGGGAATTTCCTATATCACTCTTATTGCGTCAATTTGTCAATTTGTCACGGCTACGTACAGGGATCTTGAGCAGAGTGTTTGGGGTGGGCCGGCCCGTAAAGGGCCTCTTTGATTCTAAAAACACAAAAATAGAAAAAAAACATAGAGTTGAAATGTTTACTCATCTCAATCCTATAGTATTTTTGGGTTGTTTGATTGCATCGTAGGAAAAATAAAGGATTCTTTCAAAAAGGTTTGAGTGGATGAAAAAAATCCTACGGGAACTACTAAAAAAGTCCTTAGGAGAAATTCCATAGGATTCAATCTATGAATCAAACAACCAACATAGAAAAAAAAATTCTCCAGGATTCTAATCATCCAAAATTCTTATGAAAATCCTTTGAATTGAAGTAGTCCTAAGCATTTGGGAACCTTCTATGAGCTTCTCAGCCGCTTTTTTCTAGATCAAGGAACCTTTTCCTGAACCCTTTTTTTTGTTCTTAGTTTTTTGTCTTTTCCAACAATTTTTCTTTTTTTAGTCTATTTTTTATTTACTTTTTCCTTTTTTTACCTTTTCTATTTCTTTCCATTTTTTCCTACTTCTATTTCTTTCCATTTTCCATTTTCACGTTTATTTTTACTTTTAAAAAATATTCAGAAATTTATTATTTTCTTTTCATTTTTACAAAAAATAAAATCTTCAAAAAATGTTCATGTTTTCGAATTTAGTTCAGAAACTCCAAAAAATAGGACTTAAACAATTATGTTTTAAAATATAATTTTAAAATATCAAAAAATTTGGGAATTTCCAAAAATGTTCCTATTTTTAAATTTGTTCACAAAATTCAAATAACATTTATGTTTAGAAACTTTGTTGCCAAATTCAAAAAAATGCCATAAAATTTCAAAACATGTTCGTGTTTTGAAATATTTGTTCGTAATTTCAAAAAAATGTTCCTGTTGTCAAAACTTTGTTCATAATTTAGAAAAATGTTTGCGATTTCAGTTTTATTCCTATTTTACAAAAAGAAAATGAGATTCCCAAAAAATTCTCGCGTTTTCACAAAATGTTTAAGGTTTAGAAGAAATGTTCACACATTTGAAAATGTTCGTGTTTCTTACAATATTTACTGTTTTCAAAAGGAAAATTACGTTCGTAATTTTAAAATATGTTCAAATGTGTCATGGCTTATAGTTCATATACACAAGGCTGCCTATTTAGACACAAAAATCTTGCGAACTCAGTGCTAGTGACGAGGTTCACTGGTGGGAGGTCCTCGGTTCAATCCCTCGCACACACTTTTATTATTGCGTACTTTTGCATTGTACGCTTGCAGTTTGCTCGCATCTGGGCCTACCCAGTCGGGGTGAGCCAAAAAAAAAACATGTGTGGCACGCACTTTTATTTTTGGAAATTTTTGCATTGTCCGCTCATAGTTCTCTTGCAGCTGGGCTGGCCCAGTTGGAATGAGCCCCTGTGCGCCACGCGTTTGTTGGACGCAACTCGCGTCACTTAGGAGCTCCCAAAAGATCCTCAAAAAAAGGAGCTCCCAAAAAGGTCCTGGGTTCAATCCCTCGCACACATTTTTATTTTTGGGAATTTTTGCATTATCCGCTCGCATATGGGCCTATCCAGTCGGGGAGAGCCATTTGTGCCCTAGATCCGATCTGTTCATCTACTATGCTAGCTCACATGACTATTCAATCTATGTTATTGTTGTCATGATTTATTTTGTGTTTATACGGATTAAATATTGTAGTAATTTTCTGATATATTCAACAAGTTCATGGAGGCAAAGGGGGTCAATTTTCTTCATGTGTTTAAAAAATTGTTCATGTTTTCCAATTTTCATTCACATTTTGAAATTTGTTCACAATTAAAAAACATTGTTCGGAACTAAGTTTTTCAAAATTTGTTCACAATTAAAAAAAGGACTTTAAAATTTGTACACAATTCAAATAAATGTTCAGAATTGGAAAACCTTTTGCAATTCAAAAAGTGTTCGTGTTTTGAAAACAAAATCACCATTTCCAACTTTTTCAAAAAAAAAAATTCGAAAAATGTTCACTCTTTCTGAAAGAACGATTCACGTTTTCCCCAATTGTGCTCACTTTTTTAGCAATTCTTTCGAATTTGAAAAAATATTTTTCCGAATTAAAAAACAATTCTATGTTTTAGAAAATGTTCACATTTTTTGAAAATATAGTTCGTGTTTTCTAAAAAAATTGCGTTTTATAAAATTGTTAACTTCCATATATTTGTTCACAATTCAATAAAAATTGGTCGGAATTCAGAAAAACAAAAAATTGAAAATATATTTATATGTTTTAAATAGATTTTTAGATATATATATATAGCTTCTCAAACCGGTGTTTTTGGGGTGAAAACCCCGACTAAAATCTTTTTTTTTTAGATTTGCCAAACTTTACTGATCGCTGATGATGTTTAAGGGAATACAAATTGGGTCATGAGGAGATATAAGCCACACATGGCGACCCTGATCAAGCATAACAGCATGTTTGGCAAGATTATGTGCTTCAGTATTCGAAGCTCTACCTTCAAAAGTCTAGGCAACTGAAAAAAGAACTAGATCTAAATAAAAACTCTTTTACAATAGCCTTGTAGGAGCCCCTTAGCCCTTTCGAAATATCCTCCACCACTGTCTTGCAGTCACATGCAATAATAATCTTCGACTAAAATCAAATAAGAAATGTAGGAAATTAGTCATGGCTAAATTGGGCCGGCCCATTTGTGCGAAAGCTCCTCTCGTCACCCAGCTTGAAATACTCACTCTGGCTTGGCGCCCGAACATAACCGACAACCAACAGCTTGCCAATCACGTGCTCGGCCACTACCGTGGCAACGGGGTGAGCGCGGAGGACACGCAGTTCATCCCTATGATGATGAACTGGGTCGTGGAGCCCATCCCCGCTATGCATATTCCGCCTGCACTTCCGGCAGAGGTGAGTCCGCCCCATGGCCCCTTCTTGATTCTTCCCGAATTTGCTCTTGCGCGAATTGGGTTCTTGGATAGTTGGATGTTGTTAACATGCATCGGAATTTGACCGCAAATCGTGTAAATTTCATTCGATCGCTTGGGAGCGAGCGATTCTTTGATCTGATGATGGTTCTCTGCAACCCAACTGCAGGTTCCCCTCCCCGTCGCCATGTCGACGTCGCGGGTGATCGACTACGTGTGGCGGAACGCCGACGGGGCCATCATCACCGACGACTGGTACCCATTCACTGGGAGGTCATTGCTCCGCCTCAGCACCAACCTGGCTGTGTGTCTGTCCGTGGAGAGGGGCATGGAGGGCGTCCCCGACGTCGTCATATGCCTCCCTGCCCGCGGTGGCCGCCTTCTCCCACTCGCCGTCGACCTGCCCAACAGCGAGCAGGACCTCCGCGTCGTCGTCGTCTACGCCGGCTCGCCTGGTGAGAAGCCACAAACTCTTCCTATTCTTCTCCTTTGGCTTCAGTTTTTTTGAGTCTCAGTTCAGTTGAGTGCTAATCTGCCTCTGCTGGAGTACTCTGCTAGTCTAAAATTATGAGAATTTACTGAAACCGGTGTAGTCTGAAACTTTTGCTAATCTGTTTCAGTTAATTAGTAGTTCAGACTTGGTAATGGTCTCAAGACACTGAACAACTTTAGGATTGTAGACATTAATAATCAGTAAAAGTTGCTGAATCAAATCAGTAGGTGGTCAACAGGCTAAAATCCACACTGGAACTTGATATGGAGAGTACTGGTTTCCATTCTACTCTGCTTTGATTCAGATGATCCAATTCTTCAGTTTAATACCATATATGTGCCGGTAGCTAGCTAGCTAGTGGAATACTTGGGAACTTGAAAATCCAAACCAGTTTAGTCTGCC